CCAGCCTTCTGGTTAGCAGTCAAGTGCCTTAGGCACTATGCTACCAGAGCTCCTACGTATATATGAGTATATGTAATTATTATTACTTAAAGAATATATTTTATCTTATGAGCATGTTAACCTGTCATATAAATGAGTTTTGAACTATAAAATTCTGATGTATCTCCTCCTAAATGTAATTGTCTTAACTTCTCAGGTGCCTGTATGAACATCACCCACAGCCAATGTCAGATGCTGCCCTACCACACCACGCTAACACCTTTCTTCTCAATTGCCATAAACACGGAAATGGAGAAGTTCCTCAAGTTCTTCACATACCTCCATCGGCTCAGTTGCTATCAACATATCATGCTTTTTGGCTGTAGCCTGGCATTCCCTAAGTGCATCAGTGATGGCAATGACAGGTATTTTGGATGCATATCATTTGGTGATAAGAAAGGATAGTAGAAGTGGCTGCGAGGAACAAAATGATCCCAAGCTCCACTGCTCTTTTCTGTTGTTGCTAAAAAGAAAAATACCTACATCAGTATAGCTAGTTGCAATTCTTTTAAATTAGAGATATTAAAAAAAAAAAAAAAAAAAAAAAAACTCTAAAAGGTTTTATTTATGGGAAGAAATTATTTATTAAATTAGATTGATGTTATCACCTAAGATACTCAGTAGCTGCCTCAGTGAGAGTGGCAGAAGAAGACAGCACACTCAAAGGGGTGACTGAAAATAGTTCAATGAATAGACTATTTATGGAGGTGTGGGCAGGGTTAAGAGAACAAAGCAGCTACACAGAGGTGGGGATGCAGTTCCATCCAAAGCTTGAAGGAGAAAAGGACAAATGGTGTCTGGAGAGAGTTATAGTTGTGGGAGGAGTCTCCTGACGGGTGTTGTGACCCTAGGCAGAAGAGCACAGCCACTGCCAATGCTGCAGTCCTACAGGGAGATAGAGAAAGAAGTAAATAAACCCTGACCTCACACTCTTCCTGCCCTCATCTGCTAACACATCCCTTCAGCTGGACTCACCCACAACCAGAGGGCGAGGGAGCACAATTGATACCGTCCTTCCTGGTCAATACTTGGACCCAGAGCAGGGCGAGGAGGGGCAAGAGTGGATGTGGAGAATCAAGCACAATAAAATAGAATTAGAGATCATTTTCAATAAGAGTAATCAATGAAAACTGTATCATGGGATATCTGAGATACTAAGAATACATTTTTTTTCCATTTTAAAGCATATATTTAATACATATTCACATCTAAATAATCATAATAATAAAATCTAATTGCTGTCAGGTAGACTTTGACTCATCGTGACCCAGTGTGTGTAAACGTCGAATGTGCTCCGTAGGATTTTCAGTGGCTGATTGTTCTGGTTCCCTAGTACCTGCTCCAACAGGAATATACACAGATGGGCTGACCTTCACAAACAGGAGTTTATTCTTATAATTTTGAGGCTTTAAGTCCAAGTTCAAAGTGCCAGACTCTAGGGGCTGGGTGAAAGCCCCTCAACCTTGGGGTCCAGCTCTGCCTCCTGCTCCTGGCCCACTGGAGCTAGAGGTGTTTCTTCACTTAGACAGCTGCTGGATGCTGAGGCTGAGAAGCCCCAAGGTTGACAAGTAAAAAGGCACAGTCCTGATGTTACCAAACCACATGGCAGGCCAATAACTTAAGTCCACTGTAAGTCTCAAGGTCGGCAGAGCATAGCAGGTTGCTGAGCAACAACACGACTACATGCAGGGCCCAAGCGTACCATAGGCTAGAGACCATTCCCAAGGCTTCTCCTTATATACAGGACTCAGACCATATCCCAAAGGCAGCTTACTCAGCTGCTTATGGTAGATCATCACACCATGGAGCTGAATACCAGTCTCATCATGGGGAATAACTACCACCAGCTGCCCAGCCACTCAACCAGGCCCATCCAAGTTGACACACAAACATAACCACATAACAATACCACACTGATGTTTTGGAAATAGATCACCAGGCCTTTCTTCTGAGATGTCTCTGGGCAAACTCCGTGACCAACCTTTTGGTTAGCACCCAAGTGCTTAACTATATCACCCAGAGATGCTGATTAAATATAACATTAATTATATTCTGGTTTAGAATATTAGGAATTTTTCAGAATAGTAATGTTTTGAGTGAACTGCATTTCCAAGTGCAAACAGATTCTGTGTTATTTGTACTGATTAAATTAGTGTGTAAAAAAATATGCCTTAACTAGGGCAAAGCCATTTATTATTTCCACTGGAAAAAGCCACCATTGTCACAGCTTCCAGGTAGAGTAAAAACAGACTGGGGAGGTACGTAAAGAAGCATCAGCTGACACAGCCTTTCGGAAAATGTTTCACCAGAAAGAATGAATTGCAAGGGGTGCTTTCAAAATAAAAAAAGAGAAGCTCTGTTAGAGCCCCATGAGGGCAGACTCATGTCTGCCCCATGAGTTAAAATACAGATGGAAGTAAAGGCGTCTTTTATGTTCCCAGAACTGTAGCAGTATGGGGTGGTGGTTCTTTTTGTTTCTTAAAGCCGTAACAAATCACCACAAACTGGGTGGCTTAAAACAACAGAACTTTTTTCTCTCGGAATTCTGGAGGCTAGAAGCCCCAAACAGGCAGAGCTCCCTCAGGGGCTCCGGGTAAGAATTCATTTTCCTTCCTCTTTCCCCTTCTGGTGGCTGCAGGCATTTCTTGTGGCCTCTTCATTCCAATATCTACTTGAGTCTTACATTGCCTTCTCCTGTGTGTCTGTGTCTTATCTTCTGTCTCCTATAAGTACATTTGTCCTTGGATTTAGGGGACATTTGGATAATCTGAGCTGATTTCTTCATCTCAATATCCTTAACTTAATTCTATCTGAAAAGACCCTTTTTTTCCAAATAAGGGAACATTTACAGGTTCCAGGAATTAGGATATGGACACACCATTTTTGGGCCACCTTCAACCCACTATAATGGTTGAGAGAGTAGGCTATAGAGCTGTGTAACTCTGTTAACCCTCTGTAGAAGGATTAATAGTTGTACTTACCTTTCAAATTTAATATGAGGATTAAATGGCATGAAGGGCCTGGAATAGTGCCTTGCTCTTAAAAAAAAAAAAGTGGTAGCAATATTTACAAAACAGTGAATTGAAAAGAGCTAGTACTAGTGAAATTGGGACCACAAAAGTGTTTATTAATCACCATATGTCAAGTAATAGAGGGTTGTAAAAAATGTAGAATAATATCAGGATTAAGAGAGAATTAGGTGGAATACTCAGGAGCTCTGGTGGCGTAGTGCCTAAAGCACTTGACTGCTAACCAGAAGACTGGCGGTTCAAACCCACCAGCCACTCCTCAGAAGGAAGATGGGGCAATCTACTTCCGTAGTGATACTGCCTCAGCAACCCAAGGAGGGGTCGCTATGAGTCGGGTTCGACTCGACGGCACATAACAACAGCAACAACAACAGATGGAATACTCAAGGCTGTTGGATTCTAGTTCTGTTTCTGATGTGCTGCATATTTGCAAACAATTTCATGTACATTTCTTTGCTTTTATTTCTCTATGGGCTCATGTATACACATGAATAAGACAATAAAAGATAGTACATTCAGCTTCCAGGAGACTCTAAATTCATTTTGCTCATCTTCCTTATTACAATTCAACTTCCTCTCTCAGTTAAATCAGCTTTGAAATTCTAGTTAAGGTGCATTTTTAGGTTAAAATTTGTTTTTCTCTTGATCTAGTTCATTCTGAGAAGTGCTCTAATATGAGAGATTTTCACTTTCTCTTATAATAGATATTAATTTATAGTCAGTTTGCAGGTATCCTTTAGAGACTTAACCTATTTTTATTATTTTATTTATTATTCCATTTAATTTTGCAATCACACCTCAGACCAATGTTTTCTGCTGCTGTTGAGTGTGCATATGAGACTGTAAGGTAAATTTAATAAGCAAAATAAATTCAGAAGGGCAAAATGTGTTGTAGAAAACAATTATAAAGTCAAACACATTTTTCTTGTTTTTCATTGCTTTGCATCGTCTAGTTTTCTTTATTACTCAAACAATGAAGAATTGTTTCTATTTCATCACTAGAAAAAATAGTTACTTAATAACATTTAAAATCTAATTTGAAAAGATTATAGTGAGATATAGAAATGGCAGGGATTTTAACCTGATTTCTTTGAGATCTCAGATACTCATGAACTATATTATGTTTTAGTGATGAGTTTTATAATTTTCCCTTAGATTGAGATTGCTTTTAGTATGTGAGTATATTGTGTACTGTTACTGAGGTTAATTCAAGAAGGATATAATTTATATGAATTCAATAGACTATATATCAAAATGCAAAAATTTAACTGATAACCATTTGGGCAACCCTAAAAGTATGTGGGCTAGAAGGGATAGTGCATTAGTTTCCCAGGGCTGCCATAACTAAGTACCACCAATTGGATTCAGAAGGGCAAAATTTGAAAAGATTATAGTGAGATATAGAAATGGCAGAGATTTTAACCGGATTTCTTTGAGATCTCAGATACTCATGAACTATATTATGTTTTAGTAATGAGTTTTATAATTTTCCCTTAGATTGAGATTGCTTTCAGTATGTGAGTATATCGTGTACTGTTACTGAGGTTAATTCAAGAAGGATATAATTTATATGAATTCAATAGACTATATCTCAGCCCAGGGTTACACGTGAGGAGAGACAACTCAGGGATGCCCAAAGTAGCAGGTGGGAAGAGCAAGAGAAAGGGGATTAAAAGCCAGGAAGCCAGAGAGCAGAGCAATCAGCTGAAGGGATTAGGTGAGGAGAGGAAACTCAGGCCCGCCCAGAGCAGCAGGCCGGAAGAGCAGGAGAAAGGGGATAAAAGCCAGGAACCCACACAGAGGAGCAGTCAGCCCCAGGGACAACTCAGGGACGCCCAAAGCAGCAGGCCAGAAGAGCAGGAGAAAGGGGATTAA